ATCTTTACAGGAGCAGAAAGCCTCATCTTTCTCCCGTGGAACAGCTGGTAGTTTCAAACTGCTGACCTTAAGGTTCGCAGCCCGATTCGTAACCACTACGCTACCAGAGCTCCTTTTAAATTAGAAAATATTTTCTACTATGTCTATTGTCTTTCCATTTCTTGGTGTACAAGTTTTTAATTGTTATAAAATCAATCTTTTTTTGATGTTGCTTGTGCTTTTTTGTGTCACATATAAGTATCCATTCACAAATCCGAATTCAAGATGATTAGTGATTTCAGATCTGATATTTAAATCATTGATCTATTATATTTTGTATATGATGTACACTAGAAATCTAACTTCATTTTTTTCTGTGACATACAATTTGTGTAATCACAAAGTACCTTAATCTTTTTGTGTATGACTTTCCTTATCTGTAAAATTTATTTGGCTATAAAACAATAAGGCCAAGCTTTGCAAGGCTGTGAATGTATAACAGAACCAGCTCTGGGACTTGCTCCCATTCCTAATTTATACCCTGCTGACCCCACAAGTGGCCAGAGTAAAGCTGCAGGCTTCCTTGGCTAGCATAGCAATCTTGACTATGAGGATATGTATGCCCATGGCTCAATTTAGTGGAATGAAGGGATATTGTTTAATACAACATGGGTTTCAATTTGGCATAATCATGGTACACTTGAAGTAGATAACCTAGGTTATATGAGTCTGAAGGCAAATTTACATAAAGCTTAATTTCAAATATGTAAAACTATGTAAAGGAAGCTTTGAAAGGTCAGGCTACCATGCTCAAGAAAACGTGATGTTTTTATGTATTTCAAATTCAAAGACAAAAGAAGACGTATACAAAACTGATTTTATTTGACATGCTCATATACCAAATATAAGATCTGTTGAGCTGACAAATCTGGGTTTGTATAAAATTCTAAAAACATTGCATCATGAAACAAAGATTTGTATGCATTTCTTTTGTTTCTCATCTCTATCATGACTTTTGTCATTTAATAACTGATATTGCTGGAAAACATTTCTGTGTTTAACAGTTTTAACAGTTAACAATATAAACTAGAAAAATTTAAAATACATCTATATTCTTTAAAAAATTAACCTTTTGAGACAACAAATCTATACTTACTTGCTTGTCTTTAGAAAGAAAGAAACATATCTAAACAAAGATCAGCAGTCTCTAATATACACAGAATCAAGTTAATTTATTTTGCAGGAATCAACTTTCTAGCAAGAAACAGTGATGGATGACTCTTCCATCATTCCACACTAAGAGTTATTTGTACATCAGATATAAGAATTTGACTGATGTCTGCTCATTTCCTTGATGTGTTTGTTTTCCATCTTATTTGAAGACCTAAGGAACATGGCTAGTCTCTGGATAGATTTCTTCGTCCCATCTTGCCCCAGGCTATCCTTACTCCATACTTACAGAAGTTACCTTCCTGAACCCCAAATCTCCACTGCCTAGTCATAAATCCTAACTTCCTGGTCTCCACATGTCACATAGACCTAACCATTACTTTATGAATTCATTTCTCTCATCACCTTCTGCTCACTTTCCTGAATGTCCTCATGCAGTTTCATGCTTTCAAGCAAACATGTGAGACATATTGTGGGCAGATTTCATGCATTTGCACATGCTGTTCCTACTGCCTGGAATGTTCTGCCTGAAACTGGTCCTTTGGAAAACATCTTTTGAGTCTCACTACATGGCCCCTATAATTATGGCCTTTCCTAACCCAGTTAAAACCAGCCCCTTCTTTCTTTCTTTCTTTCTTTGTGTTTTCAATCAGCTCTAACAGCAACTGCAGAAAGTCTTACTACTTCCACCTGTCTTCTACTATAGTGAAGACATTTGAGGAAAAGGGTCCATGTCACATTTATCTTTTTATCCTGAACAGCTGCCTAATACTTGCCATTTAAATTAATTCATTTTAGTTCCAGCTAGTCTGATTTAAAGGAGCTCTGGGTAGCGTTGTGGTTATGAATCGGGCTGCGAGCCGCAAGGTCAGCAGTTCGAAACTACCAGCTGTTCCGCAAGAGAAAGATGGCAGTTCGAAACTACCAGCTGTACCACGGGAGAAAGATGAGGCTTTCTGCTCCCATAAAGACTTACAGCCTCAGAAACCCTGTACAGGGTTGCTATGAGTTGGAACCGACTACACAGCACATAACAACAACAACAAGTCTGATTTAAGAACCCCTGGTAGCATAGTGGATTATGAGGTGGGCTGCTAACCACAGGGTCAGAATTCAAATCTACCAGTTGCTTTGTGTGAGAAAGATGAGACTTCTTACTCCCATAAAGATTTCCAACCTTGGAAACCCTACACAGGTGTCTCTATGAGCCGGAACTGACTGTACAACATACCTCCACCACTATCAGTCTTGAGTTGACCTCTGCCTACGGATTGCAAAGAACAAAATAAGCAACAAAAAAAAAGCTCCATTAGACATTATTTATCATTATATTACAAATAATAGAAAATTAGAAATATATCTCAAGATCACCTAAACCAACGAAGCTCAAAGAAAGAAATATTTCGAACTGCCTCAAGTTATGAGAAACATTAATGGTTCAGAGTTTCTTCTATAACCACAATCGGGACTCTATGTTTTTCTATTTACCTTGGTAAGTAGCTAATCAAATTCAGGTCATCAAAACACAGAATCCTTCTTTTCCCGTAAGAAGTTCAACAATCTCTAGTGTTGCCAAACATTTGATAAATCAATTCTTTCTTCCAGCTCCCTCTTTCCATAAACAGTGGAATACATCAGTGGATAAGAGCTCCTCATTCAATTTCCTTGGCCCTTTATGCAGATTTAATTGCTTCTTCACCTGTATTCCTATTGCACTGTATTTACTCTATTATGCTGTTGTTGTTGTTAATTGGTAGCTTAAAAATAACATTAATTCTAGACAGTGAAATAGCGATAGGTCAGAGTCTAGCATATAATGAATGAGCACTCAAGAAATGAATTGAATCTTGCTTTAATGTTATCAGGTAAGTCAAGACTAACTACATGAATTCCAACCTTTGAAAAAAAAATCCTGGACATTTATTATCTTTGAACTGAAAAAGATTTAACATCAGGCAGTAGAGTTTCTGCTGCCTGAAATACTGCAGTCTGAACAAAATGATATTAATTATTTATGAGGACACCATATTTAAACAAAGACAATTTATTTAAACAATTGTTACAAGGGTAATATACAATAAGTAAAAAACTACTAACACAATGAAGTCCTGATAGTGGCTGGTTTTATGAATAAATACTTAAGATTATTTTAAGCGGTTGGCATAAGTCCATAGGTCATTTATATTCTATGGTGTTTCCATCTAATGTTTTAATGAAAACATTTAAATAAGCTAAATAATTCACCATTCAAAGTTTAATTATTGATAAACTTCAGTGGAATTTGCTGTGGGTCAGTAAGTGGTGATGAACCTCAGTAACACTGAAATCTGTTCTTTAAATCTGTTCGGATTGGATCACTGACTGACAGAGCACACAGCCATCCTGTTTTGTGGTTCTTGATATTTTATAAAACAACATTAGTAGCTGAAATTCAAGTCTAGTTTTTGCCTTAGGGTTTAGAAATTGGTAATTTTACAAAAGTACCTAGATTTTTGTCTTAACTCTGTAACATCTCAAATTCTGTTTCAATGTGATCAATTGGCATACCTGGTTGTACTAAGACACTTAAAAAAAAAAATGATTTCAAAATAGTTATATCCTTCATTCCTACTTTTCTGGATTTTACATACTGCTATTATATTCTTCTTTTAGGGAAATAGATGATTTTTACTTAGAAGTGAATGAAAAAACCTGATAGGATAAATTTGAGGATTTTATATATATACATATGTATGTATATATACACACAGTACATTAGTAAATGCTTTAAAAGATATACCATCCAATTACATAAATGCAGTTATAGATTCAAGGACATAAAAATTATGAATTGAATATCCTTATCATTCACTTCTATGATGCTCTATAATAACTACTTTACTGTCATAGTAGAGCAATCAAAACAAACTTAATTTGGCTCTCATCAGCCTGTATGTCTGTAGATATCTGCATATTTATTTGATACACACAGCAAAAATAATTTTTTCAATAAAACAAGATAAATTTACAAGTAAGGTTAGTGATCTAATCTGAGAAGCCTTCTTGTCAGTCTAACAGATAAGAACAGTGACAACAGGAGAGAAAAATAGCGCACATAATCTCGTGTGGCAATCATATTAGGGGCTGGTTTTCTTGTACTGATTGCTGAATTCTACCAGAAACTGTCACGCTTCCAAGCTTGGGAAGTACTTTAAAACTGAACCATCTGTGAAGTTTCCGAAAGCCTTTGTTCTTGGGCTTACACAGTAAGCACTCTGTGATTCTTAATCACATTTTTATCCAGAACACAGTGTTACAGGTCACATTTTTCTTAACAATGCTTATAGTAATTTGTGCTCTATAAATATAAACATATTTACACACAGAATACACACATTGATGTGGGGGTGTGAAGTTAACCCACCATCCATAAGCAGAACGGAATAAAAATTGCCGGAAGAGTTGTATATGATGCCATGCCCAGACAGACTATAGATGCTAATCCCAAAACTGCTGAAGCAAGAACACTTCTCTGATCACGAATAATAATCTTCACATTCTCACAAAACTGGAAAATAAAATGAAAGAATATTAGAAATAGTAGTGAAACAGAAGAATTACAGATACATATATGGAGTCCTGGTGTGGTGCTGTGGGTTAATGCGCCAGACTGCAAAGCTGTTTGAACTGCAAGGTCGGCAGTTCAAGCTTACTAGCTGCTCCTTGGAAACCCTATACAGGGTCGCTATGGGTCAGAACCGACAACAACAACATGTGGCACTGTAGGATAAGCACTGGACCGCAGGGTCAGTTTGATCCACGTGGTTGGTGGTTCAAACTCATCAGCTCCTCCTTGGAAACCCTAAACAGGGTCGCTATGAGTTAGAACTGATTCTAAGGCACTTAACAACAAAAATATTAAATCATAGCTTTCCTAAGTATATTCTTTCTAGAAGAATAATCAGAATAGCTCCTATGATTTATGAAAAAATTAAGGCTGTCAACAATATAGTTTCTTGATTCCACATCCCACAGTAGTCATTCTGATAAATTCTTTATGACTGAAATAATACCTTAGGCAACTGGGTTAATAATGATAACTGTCTTTACAAATATAGAAAACTATAGAAAATAGTGTAACCACATAAAAGTAATTCAGGATTAAAGGTTCAAAACAATTTAACTGCCTATCAATAGCAATAGTGTCCTGGTGTGGTGCTGTGGGTTAATGTACTGGACTGCAAAGTTGGTTGGAACCTCAATGTCGGCGGTTCAAGCTCACCAGTTAGTTGCTCCTTGGAAACCCTGTATGGGTCGGAACTGACTTGAAGGCACTTAACAACAACATCAATAGCAATGGCATATTCTAATACAAAACGAACATTTTAGCCTATAATTCGTAGTAAGTTTGGTTCCTCCAATTCATCATTGTAAAATTGAATGATTCCAGCAAAATCTTTCTCAAAAATCTCAAAATCTAAAAGGCAAAGAAAGTCTAATTTTGTTGTTATAGCCAGTCAATAAATTAAGCAAATTCATCATCAACTACTGACACATAATTGGCTACTGAAAATAAAGAGAGATTAAATATAGTATCTATCCCTTAGGGGAATCCTGGTGTGGCGTTATGGGTTAATGCGCTGAACTGCAAAGTTGGATTGAACTGTGAGGTTGGCAGTTCAAGCTCACCAGCTGCTCCTCAGAAACCCTATACAGGGTTGCTATGGGTCAGAGTCGACTCGAGGGCACTTAACAACAACAACCTCTCAGGGGCGCCCTGGTGTGGTGCTGCAGGATAATGTGCTGGACTGCAAGATCAGTGGTTCAAACCTACCTACCAGTTGCTCCTCGGAAACCTTATACAGGGTTGCTATACGTTGGAATTGACTCGAGGGCACTTAACAACCACAACCCCTTAGGAGATCTGGTGTGGCACTGGAGGATAAGCACTAGACCTCCAGGTGGGTTTGAACCACAAGGTTGGAGGTTCAACCTCACCAGTCGCTTTTTGGAAACCCTATACAGGGTTGCTGTGAGTCGGAACTGACTCAATAGCACTAAACAACAAACCCCTTAGGAATGTATCCTTTTAGTATGATTAATATTTCCTTCTTATAAAAATGTTTTTACTCAGAAGTTGATGGCCTATGCTTGAATTCTGGTTCCAATTGTTATTAGCTATGTGATCTCAGGCAAGTCACTTATCCTTTCAGATTACCATCTCTGTCCTGCATAGGACACCAAGGCTGTTGTGAGAATCCAATGAAATGGTTTTTTGACAAGAATCCTGTATTCTTCTATTGTTGTTAAGTGTCGTTGAGTCAGTTCCAACTCATAGAGAACCTGTATAGGATTTTCTGGGAACAGACGGTGAATTTGAATCACTGACCTTGCAGTTCAACCCCACCTTGCAGTCCAATGGTTATCCTACAGCGCCACACCAGGACTAGACTGTATAAATGCGGAGGATTACAATGATTACTATTACTGCTATATCTGCCCACAATTATCCCTACCTCATCACTAACAGTACCAGAACCCTACAATCAATCATTCCATTTTTAAGGATTTTACTACGTGTTGTTGTTAAGTGCTGTTGCATCCGTTCCAACTTGTAGTGACTCTGGATAGGGTTTACAAGGAGCGGCCGGTGGGCTTGAACTGCCAACCTTGCGTTTAGCAGGCTGATGCTTTTCCCACCGCACCATACCAGGACTCCAGAGTAGTTCTAAATGAAGTTAGTTACATAGTACTGGAGAGCCAGGTTTAAAATGTTTTGATGAATGAGCACGTCAAATATATTTTAATACACTACACTAGCTTCAAAGGAGCTCTGGTAGTGTAGTGGTTACAAGTCAGGCTGCTACCCTCAAGGTCAGCAGTTCGAAACTACTGTTCCATGGGCGAAAGATGAGACTTTCTGCTCCCGTAAAGATTTACAGCCTCAGGAACCCTATGTAGGGTCGCTATGAGTCAGAACCGACTCCACGCACATAAAACTAGCTCCACAGTAAGGCTGAATGTCTAAACAAACATGAAACATTCTGTTAGTTATCTACATGTTGGCCTACTGATATATCAAGTATAAAATGATTGGCCTTTTTTAAACTAAAACTAAACAAAGCACTAGCAAGTAAATTTCTTAGTAAAGTGGAGGGTCAGCTAAAAAGAGTAAGACCCTGAATGAGATGGATTGGCACAGTGTCAGCAGCAATGGGCTCATAGCAACAATTGTGAAGTTCGTGCAGGACCAGACAGTGTTTTGTTCCATTGTGTAGCAGGTCGCTATGAGTTGGCTCCGGCTCAATGGCACCTAATAAATAATAATATAATCAAGTAAATAATCTTTAAGTGGTAAGTATCAACCTGAATGATGTTTGCAGGGTAGCGAGGAAGGAGTCTGGCCAACAATGGGAAGATGCACATTTTGCTAAATGAGTAGTGACTTGAGACAGTTATGGTTGTTTTCTCCTTTTCCCAATAATTTTTAATTTAGGCAAGAAGAAACTCATTGTGGACTCTCCTCCTGCTAAAAGCAGATTTTCTCAAGGGGAATTTTATTTCAAATGTTTGTTCTTGCTCACTAGGCCACTTTCCCAGGCGGCATCTCTAGTAGTGTTCAACAGTAGTGGGAATGCCATACATGTTTACAAGGTGTTAAGAAGCCTGTACAAGCACTTTAGAGAGCAATGAATCCTCAGAAAACAAAGGGCTCTTTGCATTCATTTTTGGCAAATGAAAAGCTGTATTTGCAAGGCAAAAAAGTAGAGTGAAAAGAGCATAAGGATTATTAGTAAGAGTTACTATTAAGGATTTATAGTTCACAAAATAATGACATTATCAGCAGCCATATAAAAAGCACTTAATTTTATGATTTGTAAACTTGCAAAAAAAAGTGACTTAACACAAAGAGGTAAATGGTAAAATGTCTAGTTCATTTTCAAATTAACTGGTGTTTTCCTGAGGGAAATGTCTTTTGAGAGTTTTCACAAACTCAAATTTAAGTCTAAGAGACAACTCTGCGACACTCATGTTAAGTAGGTAATACGTGTATAGACGGAGAACTTAACAATGAGACTCCTTATGTTTCTCAAGAGTGAGTATAAACCAGACCTCTTTCAGCATTAATGACCTACTTCTTTCACGGCATGTTCAAAAACCAGTACTTAGAATTGGAAAATTTGGGATGGGGGTTCCCACTCCCACCCGGGAAATCTATTCTGTGGCCAAACTATTTGTTAGTCCATTCAAAATGAAGACAAAAACTCTAGTTTCACAGGAGATGCTCTACAGCAACAGCAATTAAAACACGTCTCTACTTTTTTGTAAAACCCGACCAAATTTCAAAGATGAAAAGCTATGCCAAGTAGTTATTTATGCAGATAAAATATTTTACTACTTGAAAAGTACCTGTACTGCTTCTTCTTCTTCTTCTTTTTTTGTATACATATAAAAGAGTACTGTATATGTTCCATAAAATGGTAACTCCTAATTACTGGGTAGAAATACTGTTTTCTCTTAGAGAAATGATTTGCTTATTAGTTCTTAAGTAAATCTGATGTCTTTCCTTTCCTGAACTTTTGGAGCCAGTGTTTGTAAATGTGGTGAAGTTAATTTCTAAATGGCCCTGAATCCTTGCACAGTGCTCTAACTGTATTTTTATTTTACTTGGAAAAGATGCCAAACCCTTCCTAGACTGAGTGTTGTAGCTCTATAAACTTTATAAGACTCTCATATGTTTGTGTATAAAATGCATGCAACTTCCATGCTCTGCCACAGAGGAGAGAGTCAGATGTATTTTCTTCTAAGGGCAAAAAAATAAAGAAAGAAAGAAAGAAAGAAGTGGAGCAATTAAAAATTGGTTACATAAACTCAGATTCTTTTTAAATGGGGAAAATATCTAAATAAGATTAACACTAAAAGCTCATCATATGATTATCAGGATTTCTATTATGAAGAATGAACACTAAGTCTTAGAAACTGCAGTGAAGGCTGGGAAAGCTCTCAATTAAAATGTTAATCATCTTTATAAATGGTTAAAAAAGGGGGGGCACCATTTCCTTTGGATCTGTGGCTAATATAATCATTTTATATTCGAATACAGTCTTTTCAAAACACAGATAAAATTTACCATCCAACATTTAATAGCTCTTCTGGAAAGTAAGTTGTTTTATGTTTAAGAAACCCAGAAATGATCTAATCACTTTTAGAGCTAGAGGCTAAAGGACGTTTAACAATGAGTAACAATCTAGATGTGGGATAAAGCCAACACAGAAAGAATTCACAACACCTGGGAAAACCAGGGAGGTCTTTTTGGAAATTTTGTTCGGGTTTACAGGAAGCAAAGATAATTCACTCTAAGCAACTGACAGGGAGAGAAAACTGCATGCTTCCTCCTTTGAAAGGCACTGCAATTTGCCTAATAAACGCTGGACATCTTCCAATTGTAATTCTTAGAAAAAGAATTACAAGCACACGGGGAAAGAATTCCTGTGACTCCTAATCACCTGCCCTTTGTCATTTGAACTACGTCGTGGGTGGACACCCTGATGACTTCTACAGCAATAAGTGGGCAGCTCTCTGGAGTCACTCGGAGCGTTTCCACTCATCTGTGCATTGCCACACCCTTTCACCGCGCATTTCGAGGTATCCTGCAAGGCACAGCGCCAGGTATTCATTTGTGAATCTCCCTCAGCACCAGAGCTTTCGTTACTTAATTTAGAACTTTAAGGATAGCGTGGAAGTGATGGGGGAGGTGTTTAGTAAGGCTCGGCGTTAGGAGAGAGGTAAGGAACAGGAAGGGTATTCCCACCAGCCCACCTTCCTGGCGGGTCACAAGCGGTACCTTGTCGGCCTGGGGGCTGATCCGGGTGCCGTATCTACAGTAAGTCACGAAGTGCTCACAGTTGTTCCACAATAGGCTGTAGGAGGTCATGCCTAGCAGCTTCTCCGCTCTCCGCGCCACCTCCTCGTTGACAAGCGCCTTCTTCTGGAGGGACTCATCCAGGTGATTGACCAGGATATCACTTCCGTAGGCGAAGTCCTCTACCGTGTCCACGCGGATGCTGGCCACCTTGCCAATGACGCCCAGGATGAGACGCTTATTAGATACTACTTTCTGCGTGAGCCCCTGGTCATCGGTCAGGGCCAATAGGATGTCGGGCATCAGGTGGGCGACGCGATTGTCGCCCAAGTAGATACCATAATGGGTCAGGTGGGTCCGGGGCACCTCCAGCACGTCGCCTCGGAGGAAAGAGTTAATCTCGTGAAAACTGCTTTTCGCCCTGTCCTCCGCAGGAGCGCCGGAACTGAAGAACTTGAGGTTGGAGATGAGGAGCAGCTTCTCCAGGAGTAGGGACACCACCTCCAGCATTGGGTTCTTCATTGTGCAGGGAGGAGGGAATCTGGGGGGTGTGGCCCGCCGCAGCGCCGACACTGGCCGGGCCGGGCTCGGTGAGCTTGCGAGACAGGGCTCTGTTCTTCTGCTCACCTGCAGCCGTCAGCTCAGCACCGCGATGGACGGTGGCAGCAGAGGAGGGAGAAAGAAGCTTGGTGATTGACTCGGCCGCGCGGAGCGGAGAAGGAAGAGAAACTGGCAGCAGACGACAGTAGGAACAGTAGAACCAGCGCAGAGAAACCCAGGAAGAAGCAAACCTGGAAGTGTGGCTAGAATGCAAGGGCCACACGCGGGACTCTGGATCTAAGCTTCGAGGCAGCCTTTTATCACCGTCGAAGGGGCGGAGCCAATTGCCGTCACAGACACTGCAAGTGCGTTGATTGGGTAGGGTGGAAGGGGCAAGCGGCGCGGGGCGCGGGATTGAATTCTTTGGAAGGGGGCGGGCTGCCTCCCACTTCCGGGTTCTGGTTGCGGGTGTGTGTATGCAGTGGGGGTGTCTGGGTGTAATGACGACAACTTTTCGCGTTGCAGGCTTTTGCTTGCACTTCAGATCCTAGCACCAAAACCCGGTCTATAAGTCGGGAACAGTCGAGGCGGACGGTGTGGCCCCGTGAAAGGTCCTGTGCACCTGCTTAGATTGGGGGCACGCTCTCAGCACTTAAGGGAAAAGGTCTTAGGGCGACGTTTCAACTCCCTCCAAGGGGATGGCTAGCCGGACACTTCGGCTTACGGTTAACCCTGCGCACCTCGGAAGCCTGCAAATTCCCTCCTAATATCTAGAACACGCTCTTTGCATGCCAGGAATCCCTCTCCACTTTAGATGCCAAGGATCCGCTTTCTTCCTGCGGTCGCACAGGCGGGCTGGTTCTCCGCGTGTGTGTGTGTGTGTCGGGGGTGGGTGGAACCCCTGACGCCTCTGTGCCCCGAGGCACCAGTGGCCGTTGGACGTGCGGCCACCAACGGTCAACAGTAAACACAGGGCAGCCTCTAACGGCCGCCTGGAAATCAGAACTAGTGTCGTTTGTCTGGTTTTAGGGTCTCATTGAACCAGCCTCGGATACCCAACGAAACTTTGCCGCTTTCTTTTAGATCCCAGCCGCCTGGCGGGGGCCGAGGCAGGAGCCTTTGGCTAAGGCTGGAGGCAGCACGCCCTAGGCCGCCTCGGGTGCTTGCGTCTAAGCGCCGGCAGCGCGACCCAGGCGCGTCCGCGAGTGTGGTCCGAGGAGCAACCTGGCGAGAGAAGCTGCAGACGCGTCGGTGCCGCCAGGCTCCGCACGCGGTCTCCGGATCCCGGAGCAGCGTTCTTTGCTAATGAATTATGTAAATGCTTGAATTCTGAGGACAAAGGCCACAATGGAAAGCCTCGGGCGTCTCCACAAAGCCGCCCAGTCCGGGGCTAATAGGTTTCATCAGAGAGCCGTCTCTCTTCACCAGCGGAGGAGGCTAGTTGCAGATGATGGATGAAGGCACATTCATTTTACCTGGAAGATGATGGGGACCATGGATACCAGGCGGGGCGGGAGCCGGCTCCCCATTATCTTTGGAGGCCGGTCTTTGCTCACACCCCCGGTCTGCCATCAGCACTCTGTCCCTGTCGCCCTTGCTTGCCGGTGACTTTTGTTCATTTCACAAACAGTGTCCAATCACATTATTAGTCTCAGCTAAGAGAAAGAAAAATCAATTTCCCACAAACGAGTTGAAAGAGGAAAGTGAGAAAGGGGAGACATGGACATGTTTTTAAAAATTGGTTTCCAGTCTCTGTCTATATTTGAGCTGGAGACTGTTGACTCTTTTATTAAAACAATCGTAAAGAGTCTGTGAAGAAATGTTTAAAAGTCTGGTCCAGACACAACATATATACGTTAACTACAGACTCAGCGTGTAGGACTCCCAGGTTGTAGACGCGTTGGCCCGGTCCAGTTCTGGGAAATGGAAGATTCCTGTCTCCAGTATCTCCGCCCAAATGGCTAGGGGAGTTCAAAGAGGAATTGGTAATTAGCGATTTCCGTTCCTGGTAGCTACTAACGCGGCTTATAATTCCGACAACTGTCTCCGCCCGGAGAATTTCGCGAGGGGGGAAAAAAGACAAGCAAACTGCTTTACAACTCTGCAAGAACTCTAGTAGAAGGAAACTATTGGAGAAAGTACCTCTAAACCTTCAACAGTCACATCCCAGGCAGTTTAAGGAACTGCACACAATACGCCAAGCTGATATGCTTTATTATTTTTTTCTTCTGGTGGGGTTAATTTTTTTGTCGTTCATTTTCTTTGGAAAACAAGTAACTTAAAGAAAAATGAGCGATAAAACCAGTACAAAGGGGCACTAGTCAGATGTAGGCATTCTGCTCCAGATGTAGGCATTCTGCTGCCTTTGGAAATGAACGGAGCTACGAGGGTGGAGAGTGTCTTGAAGGTTATTTATTTTTACCTCTGATAATTCGTGATTTTTAAGCCAGAATTTTGTGTACATTTTTTCTCGACGGAACGGAACCGTCTCCTTGCTATCCCTCCTAGGGGGAGTTTGGCTTCAGGCAACCCGAAGGGGGCAGGGGAGTCTTCAAGTTGTTTTCTGAAGTCTTCCAAAGAGCCTAAATACGGAAAGGGATTAGAGACGATTAGGCCGCTTTTCAATTGAGAAAATGAGCTCTTGTTGACTGAACTGCTTCCCTTCCCCTCTGTTTTTCATAAACAATAATTGTAACCTTACTCTACAGAAGGCATGTTCTCCTCCCACGTTCTCAAAGTCGCATGCATTTCTTTGGCTGAGTGCTCAGTTTTTGACGGTTGCCTAAAAGCTGACTTCATAAAGTCATATTAGACTTACTAAAAGGCTCACACTTATATTTTTCTTTCCCGCCCCCGTTGCCTGACAAATTGTAAGAAAGGCGGCTACATTCGCTATTAAGACAGGGTGATTCCGGAAGGAGTGAGGTATTCCTGGACAGCATATATGAGGTGACCTGAAAGGTTTCCTCACCTGCAGAAGGGGTAACAATAGCCGCGTCGGTGTCCCTACCTATAGATCGGGCTTGGCCTGTTCTCCCAGCTGCGATGGGCAAAATTGTGTATCAGTGCAAAGGAAGCTGAAATTAAATTAAGGCCAAGAAACAGAGCAATGGGTTTCCACCTAACCACGCAGTGCAGCCTTATCTTGAGTCCCAAGAGAAAGAGTGTCGCCACAGATGCTTACAGCGCTGTACAGCTATTTAGATTTCCCATCTTCAGGGCATTTCTTACTTCAGAAGCCTCTCTTCCTCAGAGAAGTCTAACTGCTCACCTGTATAGGGGTCAGAAAGAAGAGGAACTCCCCCCCCCCCATGGATTGACAAAGTGGCAGCATCAATGGGCTCAAGCGTGGCAACAATTGTGAGGTTGGCCCAAGATCGGGCAGTGTTTCATTCTGTTGTACATAGGGTCGCAATGAGTCAGTACCAACTCGATGGCACCTAACAATAACAACAATAAGGTTTCCAAGGAGCGGCTGATGGGTTTGAACCATTGATCTTTTGATTACCAGTCCAGTGCTTAGCCTACAGTGCCACATGTTGTTGTTAAGTGCCTTCGAGTCGGTTCCCGACCCATAGTAACCCTGAACAGGGATTCCGAGGCTGTAAATCTTTACGGAAGCAGAAAGCCTCATTTTTCTCCTGTGGAGCAGCTGGTAGTTTCGAACTGCTGACCTTGCGGTTCGCAGCACAATTCTTAACCACTACGCTACCAGAGCTGCTTACAGTGTCACACAGATGATATTTATTGTGTTTTCCTATGTGCTAGGCACTCTGGTAGCGTAGTGGTTACAAATTGGTCTGTGACCTTAACTTAAGGTCAGCAATTGGAAACTACCAGCTGTTCGGCGGGAGAAAGATGAGGCTTTTTGCTCCCGTAAAGATTTCCGGCCTTGGAAACCCTGTACAGGGTCAGTATGAGTCGGAACTGACTTCACGGCCCATAACCACCAACCACAAGGCACTGAATTAAACATTTTCTCGTTTAACCCTCACAACAACACTATTAAGTCTCATTGTCATTTTATACAAGAAGAAATGAGGCTTATAATTTTGCCTAGGGCATATGTGTGGATCAAGACTCAATTCCAGTTTTCTTTGCCTCCTCCTCCTAAACATCACTGGAGAAGGCCTTACCTTCCATCAGTCCATCTTTCCACCATTTATTTAGTTAGTACCTCATATGTGCCTGGTACTATGGCTTGCTGTGGTGCTGTAGTTTAAGTAGTGGACTGCTAACTGCAAGGTGGGCAGTTCAAACCTAGTCACTTCTCAAAAGCACTATACAGCATTGACTATGAGTAGGAACTGACTTGACAACAGTGAACAGCAGCAGGCCTGGGATTCCATCAAATACCTAATACTAAATTTAGACTCCACATCCTTTCTTTGAGGTTCTGACTTCATTTCCCTGATTTTCCAGTGACCTAGGGTTCAGTTTTTAATATCAGGTATTTTACTAGGAGAGCAAGGGTTGGTTAAGATTGCCGTTAGTGGTGTTCCCTAGCTCTTGAGTGGCCACACAGTCCTATACCCCCCTTAGAATAAGACCCTGGAAGGTAGGGAAGTTTGTTGTCTTGCCAAGAACACAGAGTTCACTTAAAAACAACAAAAAACAAAAACAAACAAAAAAAACAACACAGAAGCAGATCGAAGGTTCAATGTGCCAAACTTCTTGTTTCTTAGGCCTTCTTTCCCTTTTTCCCTAAGCCTAGTAAATTTGATTTTCTAAACATTCGTTTTAACTTCTGCTCTCCTTTAGGTTTGTTGTGGTTCTTAGATTTTTTAGATTACAGAATCATTTGGCTCATAAATAACTAAACAAAACATTTATTTTTGTTTCTAGCTGTCAATCTACCTTCAGTTTGTTTACATATGCTCAGGTCTGGCCTATGGGTACAAACAGGAGCCTTAACTAGCTAACTGTAAGAGAGTAGAGAGAATATGGGTTTTGGTGAACTTTCCTCAGGAAGCCAAGATAGA